TGTGTAGTGGGTGGAGTTTTTTGCATTTATTACTGATTAGGATGAATGAGCGGGGCCTTTAACTGCATGTGTGGTTCCACTGAGCAGCACTAAGGGCTGGAGGCATCAGAGTAATAACCCCAAAGCGGAAGATATGAGTGTATTTCTGCTGGCATCGGTATTTGTTTTAAGTACTAATTTTTATGAGATGGAGTTTGAGAAGGAAACATCTGGGTTTGGAGGAGCGTGGTTTGTTTGTGTTGGTTTTTTTTTTTTTTTAATGAGTTAGGAAACAAACACGTATAGTTGTCCACATGGAAAAGTCAGCACTACTTAAAGTTTTTTTTTTTTTTAATGGAAATTAGGAGAATTGAAGAGACAATATTCGAACTCTGTGTTCTGTTCTAATCCTATCAGTGAAACTAATACATGCATCTGTTCTGCATGTTTTCTTTTTGATGTATTCTTGTATGCAAATAAGTTCATGACAAGGCTGTAGAAACTGGCTAACTAAAATATGCTTTTCTCTAGCAGTGAGAGATCTAGTCAGTAATTCTACTGCTTTAGGAATATTTTTAAAATGTATTTTTGCAAAAACAAGATTCACTTATATGCAAGCAAATTTCAGTGTTGTTGTGGAGCAGATTAACACTGAACTGAAAATATTTGATTCTCCATCAAACGCTTACTTAATGAGCAGTGATGGTGCAAGTAGCCTCAAATAGCTCAGACTCTGTCAGGTCTGCCTTTACGTGGACTATCCCCTAGTGACAGAGGGAAAGTAGTTCACCCTTCATCTCTAAGATGATCAAAAAGAGTGCCAAACTGTGCTGGTGACTTCCCGCCTGTCGCCTGATAATTACGAAGGATTGCGAACACAGACTTTTTTTTCCACGTTCCTTGACAGGTTATTGAGAAACAACCAGTTGCAAGACTATTTATCTTGAAGGTGTTTAATTCTGTAAACTACAAGAAAAGTTTTACGTTGTAGTGTTTATCACTTGAGCTCTCACTTTACCTCGTATATGGAGCATTAGAAATGGTACATTGCTTATTTTACCATTGTCTTGTTGTTATTGTTTGTGAATGCCTAACCACTCCTTCCTGCAGGATTGTAATTTACCAATTCTACCTCTTAAAATGTTGTTTTAAATATTTGTTTCTTCCGATGTAATCATCGATTGTTGATAGCTTTGTTTGTTTTTTAATTGACTGGAAAAGGATTACCTATAATGGCAAAGCAGAGAACGGGTAGTTGAACTTTCATACTGCATTTGTAGAGTTTATTTTGGAACTTTCTTGAAGTTTGAAAATTGGAATTAAAACAAGTGGCTTTTCTGACTCATAATGTTGCCCATGAGTTCTCCCCCTTTTCACAGAAGGGGAGCGGGAAAAACGGCATAAACGGGATGCTTCTGGTGAAGTATCACTGGAATGAAGTAATCGAGACATTCCTAGCCACTGATCCTGTGCAACTTTTGAGTTTCCAGCAGTGATGACTTTCCTATTTGAGAACAAAAAGGAAAATAAGTTATCTTGTTAAGGACGGTATCAAAATAAAGATTTTATGTCTATTTGAAGGGAAAAGAGAGCTTAGTTCATGATAGTTGGCTAAGCAGTTTGTTTGTTTTTTGTTTTTTAAAAAGGAAATCTGAATTTAATAAAAGACCTCAGTGAAATTCAAGGGTGTGAACAATAAGCATAATATTTTATGAAAATGACCCCCATATTTAAAACCTGGCATTATATGTTATGCATTGTAGCACCAAGTCCACATCTACCTTTTAGAAAATTAAAACACATAAATTCTGTTTAGTGTTTGATATGCACTGCACTAGCTGAAAGCCATAATGCCCCTAAAACCTTGGGTTGCTTTTCACCTTTCATAAATTCCTGGGTAGATTCTATACAAAAAATAATTTTCAGCTCCGTGGCTCATTGTTATTCAAACTTGATTGATTGTCGTCATTTACTCAGTGAGGAAGTTAAGTGCTCCTGTCATTTCCGAAGAGTATAATTGGGACGTTTCACAGGTCAGCGGTAGTGACAGGTTTCCCTTTTGATTAGTGTTAGACTGATAACAAAAATTACAGTTTCCTATGATTAATGTTTTCTATAGTAGTTGAACGCACAGCTCATGGGTTGTACCTAAACAAAGTGAATTTGCATCTGATTATGCCATTTCTCTGTCAGGCTTTTCACATGCTTTGAAGTTTTAAACCATGCAGGTATATGGTAAAGTTGCTTCTAATTCAGGTTTTTTGAAGCTGAGGGTTACTGAAGCCCACTTTGTTTTAGTATGTTTGTGTATTATACGGAGAGCTAAGTGCTTCCCAACAGTGTAGGAACAAATTAGGGGAAATCTCAAGTCAGAATAGTACTGTCCTGGATTCTTTCAGGTCCTCTCAGATCTGTCACACGCATGAGTACTTGTATTATACACGTACTATGTCTTAGATACGGTTTGGTGATTTAAGTTAAATGGCAAGTCTTAAATGAGTTTTCTTTCTCTTACTAGTTCATCACTGTTTCTCAGTTCCTTAAACCTGTTGCTTCTTTTTTATATACAAGCTACTTGTGAATAAAAACTGTAGAAATACACTGAAATTAGTTTCTAAACTAAAGCTGTAGATTAAGATCATCCATGACAAGTTCTAGGTTGCTGTAATATTTTTAATAGCTAAATGAGGAATAGAACATGAGTATGTAAAATATGATGTTATCCTGCTTCTGGCTGGAGAAATAGGAGTGGATGTAATTTCCAAACTTAATTAAATTGCCCGTAACAGATAAAAAGGGAGTGACAACACCAGCAGAATTTTGAAATCAGAATACAGACAGACTAATTTCTGTTTAGTCTCTAGCCCTTTTCTGTTGCACAGAGTACAAAACCTTTTTTTTTTTTTTTTCCCTCAAAAGGTCATCAGAAAGGTCTTCTAAAAGTTGCAGTTCATCACGAATGTGCTGCTTTCATGTCCAGCGCCTTTGCGAGTTTGTGATTTGTAGTGGAGTGTTTGACCCTTTCTTTACATTAGAACTTTATTTTGATTTCTGCTGTGGAGGTGAGGTTCAGCATGTATCTGTTTTGGCTGTGCCACCTGGGGCCTGAATTGCTTCTTTCCTTTAGATGAGGAAGAATGATTGTGGTAGGAAACAAAAAGTTTACTAGGATGCTGCAGTATCCTCCAGCACAGCTGGGAGGTTGGCAACTGTATCCGCTAATTAGAGGAAGCGATAGCTTGGCTGAAGAGACTATGCTGTGCTTGTCTTTGACGACAGGTTATTTTCAAAGATGATTATGCTGGGATATTGTGTTAAAATGAATAATTAGATGCTCTCTGGTAAGGATGCACTAGTAAACCCACTGCATTCTTCAGGACAGTAATTTTTTTTTTTCAGAAGCTTAGAACTGCATCTTTCTTTGAGCAAAGTCTCTCTTTTTTTTTTTTTTTTTAAACAAATGGAAAATCATATTTCTAACTTGCACCATCCATTCATTGTATGTTAAAGCATATGTTCAATATTGATGTTGTTTGTTAGAAATGCGTTTCAATCCTACTTGCAAGTAGTGCTGACCCAAAAGAAATACTGCTATTTATTTATTTATTAACTATACTCAGTAAACCAAGGTTAGTTTCTAGGTTTTGTGGCTTCAGAGTACAGGTATGATTTAAAGGAACTCATCTGTGCAGCTGTGACACGCGATTAGAGTAGTGAATTAAATTGGGAAAATTCTGCTGCAGGCAAAACCTGCAGTGTCCTCTAGTGCTTGCAACAATGGGTAGTTGATACGAATATCAATGTGAGTCAGGTGCACTAGCAGAAGTGAAGAACAAGGCTGAAAATAACAGAAATATATGCCATTTCTTACCTATTGCTTTGGCTTGTTGCAGTGAAGTCAATTGAAAAAGAGTGATAGTGAGCTCTGTGGTAAGGTTGCGTTTAGTGGATAACCTGTGCACTTCCTATAAAAGTGCATGGGAAACACAATAATTTACTAATGGTGGTGGTGTTAAGGATCAGGTAACTCTTAAGTTAGACAGAAGAAATGGAGCATAAAACCTGCAACACTGCTGTCTTTTTAGGGTAGTCAGCATTTGGGATTTTAAAATTCTGATAATACAAACCAATATCTGAGGTGGCACAAATGTTTTTAGCTTACGTGTAGTCTAGCAGAAAAATGTATTTTCAGGTATGAAACAAACTGAGGAAAAAAATTGTAGAGGTTTGTTGGTATGAACACAGTAATGCTTAGCTGAAATGAAATAGAGGTAGCCACTTACGTGAATTAATTACCCTAGTTAATTGGTAGCAATTCCATTTTTAGTTTTCGGCTAGTCATAGATATTCCATTTCAGAATGCGATATAGACTAAGTGCACGTTTTAAAAATCCCGTTTTGCTGGTCTGGTACGTAGTAATCCGTGCAGTCTAATTTCTTAATTAAGAAATGAATATATCAAAGTATTGAGTGTTGCTCTGAAGAAACGCCGTGAGACACTATAGTATACAGACAAATCTGACTGTTCTTGCTTTTGTCAGAATTAAACCAGCCAGTCCATCAGCTTCCCTTCCTGTTTGCTTGCTCTGTGGGTTTTCTGAGCCCTTAAACAATCAGTGATACTATGTAACATGCTGCAGACCGTTCGGGTGCACCCAAATGAGTGAAATGAAATAAAGAAGAGATAAGGCTGTAATTTGCTTATTAAGTCAAAATCTTAATGTTGTTTTAAGATTCTTCAATTTTATAAGTTCACGCTTTTTCAGACTCTAGCAGCTGTATGTGGAGTAATGGATCTCTTCTTTAAAGCCTCTTCTATATCTTAGGATAGAGTATGGCTTTAGAGATAAAATGTTAAGCAAAGGTCTAATCTTAGATAAAGATTAAATACATAATTAGTGAAATACTTTTGGCATAGAGTAGTCTCAGGGCTATCATGATGTCTGTAAAATATTTTCAATGTGGAGGGGAATGAAAAACAGTCTTCAAGTTAATAAAAAAAAAAAATACTGTCTCTGTAGATGAAAGCCTCAGACGACGACGACGATGAAGAAGAAGAATTTGTGGAGGTCCCTGAGAAGGAAGGTTATGAGCCCCACATTCCAGACCACCTGCGTAAGGAATATGGTGAGTTTGCCCAGCTGTGAAAAGCTTTATCCCTGCATGTTACTGCTGCAGTAAAGTAAATAAACAGCCATTATGAAGTAATAAAGTGATCACTGGTGTGGGTAATCTCTCTGACTGCTATGAGGAAGTCATTACATAGATAGGGTAGCAGTGATTGGCTCTAGATAAACAAATACTTTCTAGGAGCAGAAGCAACTGAGACTAGAAGCTTATTTCGTTCCATCATGTTCCACTGTTAGTTTAGAGCAAGAAGCAGTGCTATATGTTTATATACGTGCTAAAGATATACTTACTCAGAGTGAAGGGATTGCAAAGTACAACTATAAATGAGCCTGGATATTAGAAATACGGGTAACAGTCTACTGAGATGGGATAAGATTTTGTACTGTTCCCTGTATTAATAGGTAATATGCAGCTACTTCTTCCCATAAGGTGGCCAATTTACAGCTCAGAACATAGGCTTTCGTTTCAATGGTGGTGTCATTGTTGCAAAAAGTTAAATGGAGCTCAGCCTTTTAGTGCAGAATTGTAGCCACTGAGCGCATACCAGATGACAAAACGTAATCTTGGTCTTGTCTGCTTTATTTAAATGAAGTAAGCCTTCTTTTAATGCATTTTAAAGATTTTTTTTTAAATAAATATATACTTGTAATGTGTTCTTTTGAAATTGAGCGGAGAGTTACTGGTGAAAGTTCATCTAAAATAATTAAATTTCAGTGCATTACTTCTTGTCCTGTGTACATCTAGCATATTAAGTGCCTGCAGCTTTGCCTCTGTGTAGCATGGTGTTTTTTAAGTCTCAGAAGTTTTAATACATTGTAGAGAAAGAGAAAGCGGCTGCCATCAAGTAAAAGTTAAGAACCTTAGACACTGTAGTAAGTTTCTCCTTTATTTCATCATAGCTCTTTGTGTGAGAATTGTTTTGCCCCGAATGTGTTGTTTGGGTGATGTTGCCTTTTTCACTCCTGTTCACGCTTATTTTTAACATGCACAGTTTGTGCCATAGAAGCCAGGCTTCAGCTTTTACCTGTGTAAGTCGTTTTTTTTTGTTTTGGTTAAAACTAAGGGGTATGCCTTTGTAAGCCCAAAAAGATACGGAGAGGGTAAACTTTTTGTCTGTCTTCTGCCGTCAGAATTGGCTACAGACAGTGAAAGGTATTCAGTAATATTCTGCAGTGACTGGGGTCAGCACATGGACCTCTCTTGGTATGAAGTCCTCATATAGTGCCTCAAACTTACTCTGTCTAGACTTTCTCTATTAAGGCACCGTGGTGCCCTTGGAAGTAAGCCCTGCATTGATTATATGGTATGTCTGTCTGTTTTCCCCCCTCGCCTAAGGGCTTGCAACAAGTCCAACTGGAACCACCAATTGAACTGGAGGAGGTAAATGTCTCATTTCCCACTTTTCCTTTATAGAGTGTGGAAATTAGCAACTGTACAGAGGATTGAGACTAAATCCGTGCCCTGGTGAGCAGGTGACTGCTTTTTGTGGTTTGGCTTGAATGACCACTTTGCACGTGCATTGCTTGAAACAAGCTATAGGCACGTATTTTGTCCAACAACTAGTTGGGGAGGATGAAGTAGAACTGGGAGTACTGAGATAGTGATAAGGTTGACATGGGATAGAGGGTGAAATGGGAACTGAATGTATTCATCGGGAGAGAACACAGGACAGTGGTGAAGGGCTGTAGGACACAGACACATAGGAACTGGGCAGCTCTTACTTTTCTGTTATGAAAAAAATTGTGGTGCAGCCTTCCAGATAGTTGTGAACAACATCTTATGCATATGCAGCTAGTGAGAAAGAGTTCAAAAAGAATAGTAGTGAGAATAAGTAAAGGAGCAGATGAAGTTAGTCACTATGATAGTCCCTTTATGGTTGTTTTTTTTCGTTCTTTTGACTGTACTACTTGTGCCAAAACTTGACTTTTTCTGAATAGTTCCAGGGACTGGACTTGACTTTCATAACAGCAGCCTGATGTGATGAGTCCTAACATACGAAAGTTCTGTTTATTTCTTGTCAGCTTCCACTGGAAGTGAGATGGACTCCTTTCCCTTCTTTGTCTCCCTTTCCTTCACTCTCTCTCTCACACGTGTTCACGTTTGAAAAATAAAGCATCTTACCACCCTCTGTGTCGCACCACCGATACATTGCTGCCCCTTGAATTCTTCCTCTTGGAAAAGGATAAGAGAACAAACTTACTGCAACTTACCACCCAATCATCTGTCAATGGTATATTATCTACCCAAGAAAATTATAAGAATTTATATACAGTGGATTAAGAAATTCCCAATTTATATTTAAACTATGGCTAATAGGAACGTACTTTATATTGAAGAAGCCAAACTGTCAGAAAACAAAACCTATCTCATCTTTTGTATGCATGTAGTTAGGTGGGAGCTACCGGTCACACTTGCTCATTCTTTATTTGATAAGTTTGTTTAAAAAAAATAACATTTTGAAACAAATGAACCATTATTGGTGTTCCTGAAGAAAGTCAGCTTTTTTGCTGCCTTTTAAAATGACTGCACAGGCTCCCCATTCAGGAAAGAATATCTGTTCAGGCCATCTTTAATGCCTGTGCTTTCTTCCACCTTTATGTACTTAAGTGCTTTCTTGAACCAACTTGTCAGTTGGTAGTTCTAATTCTTTTTTTTAGAATATAACTATAGCATAAATCAGCTGACTGCTGTGTAATTACTTGAGGTCTGTAGAAGTAAAATTGAGAATTGTATTTGCTCTACTGGCTTCAGTTATACTTACATTTTTAATGAGAAAAAACAAACTAAGGATCCTTATGGCACATTTTTGTTTAGAAGAATGAATTACTAAAGTAAAATAAATGAGAACAAATTGACTTCATAGTCACGTGCTACCGTGGAGGCCTAACTGTGTTAGAAGATCAGCCCTCTACTTAAGTAAGATCATTTGTGCCACATACCAGTGCAGTTAGCAGTGACTTTAGCTGTATCTTAATATAATCCAAGTGTGAACTACAGAAATGTAGCAAAACATTTAGTTCACAAGGACTCTGAGCTAAGAAACTAGAAGTCTGTGTGGAATATCTTAACTGCAACATTAAGCCTTCCATTTAAAATATATTGTGACTGTTATGTAGAAGGTGTGAACAATTCAAAGGCTTTTCCCTCGTGTTACTTTACATGAACAAGCCAGGAAAATCAAACAGCTCCTCAGATTAAATGTTTATACAAAGTAGTAAGACAAAGATGTAAAACATGGCCGTGGAACTATTCTGAAATGTAACATTTAGATACCTGATTTAAAAGTCACTTTATTCCCTTTCACTTTTCTTAAGAAAATGACAGTATTCTACCAACAAAATAAATTTCAAGCTCAGATGCTATTTTTGAGGACATATTTCTGATTCTCTTGAGATCTGAAAAGATATTTGGAGACAGGGAGGTTTTGTATGCATAAATATACGCACACACATGTAATGTCTATGTCTATGTAGTTGGTGACGATGGCCCCCAAATTGTTGATGATATTTAATATGTAAGATGAGCTGAGCATTGGATGCCGTTTGGGTGGAGGGAGAATTAAGTCAATTTGAATCTCCATGTGTAAGATGAAATGTAAATTTGTTAAAAGAATTTAGGTGATTAGATAACTGAAGTGTGAAGCTATAACCCATTAGGGGTGTCATGCCAAATTAACATTACCAGACTTTTAACGACCTCCCATTTGTATAATCCTTATTTACACTTGCACCTGATGTCTGCAACAGACAAGAAACCAGCCATGCTGTGGTACCGCAGAGCCGCTTTAAAAGCACTATATTGCTAAAGAGAATGTTTGGCTGAAAGAGCAACAGCTCTGGGAAAATAGTTTTCATAAGGTTACTCTGATTCTCAGCACTCTGCGCCAATATTACCTACTTCCACTGAAGAGTGACTTTGCTTTATAGGGCTGGTACTGCTGACCTCTTAAGAATTGAGGTCTTATTTCAAAGCAGGCTTAGGGAACAGATGAAATCTTGTGTCCGCTTGCTATTTCCTCACGTTACAGCCTTTGCTATTTAGCTGTCGGTTGCAATGGCTTAAAGCCCTAACAGTGGATAAGGTGAAGGATGGACCTGTGCTGTTTGGAGACATAGTTCTTGTGACAGACAAAGAATTTGGTGCTGACGCTAAGATAAGATATTCCTTCCTGCCCTGTCTTATTCCCTCAGTTATTTCAGCATCACTTGTTTGTAGCTGAGCTGTGAGCTACTTGCAGAAGTGTCTTGGTTTGAGAGATGTGCTTCTCTATGTAGTGATGGAACAGTTTTTTGATCTAGTTCATAGCACCACCTTTCAAGCAACCGTTCTCTCTGCTACTTGTGTCTTAGCGAGGCCAACGGAGTCTGGGGAGCAGTTCCAGTTAAAAGTATGCTCGCTCTCCAGACACCGCTGGTTACGTTGAATAGATCTCCATTTACTGTAGTGGGATTTCAAGCACCTGTGCTTAGATGCATAAATAAGTGTGTTAGTCTGAAAGCTGAATCCCATTCTAATTATGTAATATCAATGTGCTAATAGGCTCTCTCTTTACCATTTGATCTTTCTCCCTAATAGGTTATTCATAATTCTTGTCTGTGTCCCAATGCATGCACTAATGAATGTACTTACGCAATACTGCTTTGAGGTACAGGAAAGTGGTATTTCCACTTTACAAGTGGCGATATGAGGAAGCTGCCTGACTTGGGAACGTTAGTGTGGAAGCAGTCTACTCTGGCTATCGGGTTTTGTCCTTGCACTGATTAAAAGGAAAACTGCCTTGAAAATGAGGAATGTAATAGAACAGTCATCATTAGAGATAAAAATAGAAAAATTCATTAGTGATTTATTGGAATCTGATTCTTTTATTCCCTACGTAACAGATTTTTTAAATGCTTGAGGATGTTTTTGTTTGCGTGGTCAAGAATACTGTTTCACCTGTGTCACTCTGTGAACAATGACACTGAATTTTAAGCCCTGCATGTTGTCTAACCAAATGT